GGGTCCGAAAAAAATGTTGCATGTCCCATTCTGATTCATTTCTTGGCGGGATAAAGTAAAGTAGTACAGATGGTACTTGGGATTTCCCGATCCGGAATGTCTCTCTTCTTCAGGGGTAAGGGGGTTTCTGTGATGTGATTGTGAAGCGTGCAGGACATGAGGGAAGAATTAGATGTACGGTGGTAAGGTTGAGGCGTGCAGACTATTGGGATTGGATATACAACGCTGACGCGAGGCACACCGATGCTAAGGACCACGAACGGCGATCCGGGGCACGTAACTATCCAGGTCCTAGATAATAGCGGCATAGCATTTGACGCTGTACTGGTTTGTTCTCTCGATTCTGTTGTATGATACTATGATCCAGTATTGAGATGATCATAATAAATTTCACCCTACCCCCTCGGCCCCGGTCATCCGTCCACCACCGGCTCTTCAACGTCCGCAATTCGGCCCCGTGGGATACGTTCATATTTGAGGAGTCCCCGCCTCCTGTATCTCCACTTACCCGGGACCCTGGTTAGATCCCGTCAATTTTCCTTTCCTTAAGCGTCATCATATCAAGAACTGGAGCAAGGCGATTGATGGTCTGGCTCCGCGTCGTCATATTAAGTAGAGTGGAGGTAATAAGTACAGTAGAGTAGAGTAGAAGGAAAGAACATGGGATGGAGAGGGAGAGTCCGAACAAGGAAAGCAAACTTCAAAAAAAAAAACTCGAGGTTGGCCCCGAAAGATAATGGACAGGCAAGGCTTTGCAGGTGGGATAAAAAACTCGGACAAACAATGCCCTACCCGAGCAACGTGCAGGAGAAGATGGGTATAGAAACCCCTGAGTGAGTGTGTGTTTTGGTGACTGGGCCAACGTTTAGGTATGTTTTAGTTTCTCATAATGCGCGAACAGGTGACAACGCCCTATCGCAACTATTATGTAGACTAAAGTACGCAAGGTTAATCAATCATTATTGCTCAGTGCCGTTAGTGATATGCCCACGCAGTTGCCAGTAATTCGTATTTGAGCCAACAATCTCCCGGCCGACGAGATACTGATGCCATCTGTTTTCCTTCCTTTCTATATTACTTACTTACTTACAAGTTTTGGGCGTCATCAAACTGCCAACGTTCCTTAATTCCATCTCTATCCCTGTACACTAGGGCTTGTGTGACCACACAATCATTCATATGAACCCGTATGATGGGAGAAAAGGGGAAATGACATTCTAACCAGAAGAAAGAAAGGAATCATCTCCTAGGTTAGGTTATTTAAGCAAGGTTAGAAGTAGAGAGCAAAGTATTCGGTGACAATGATGGCTAAGAACAAAACAAGGAAGAAGAACGTTATAGCTAGCCGAATTAGCGGCTGCAATACGAAGGGAAAACCTGAGCTCTCCCAGAATGCATTAGGTCTCCTGAACAGGGGGCAGGCATATCTGTAATATATTTTTCGTGTTGGACACGGCATCGAAGTTTTCGGTTTAGCTTTTCTCAATAGAAGGGAGAAGATGGACAAGGACTCGAGGATATACATCGGATATCTTAGGTTAAGAAATTTTAACTTTACGCCGCAAAAGTGAGTTCGTGTGTTCTATCCGTGTCTAAATCTTCCTAAGCAGGAGACTACATACTGTCCCTACTTAAACAGGCTGAGTTTAGAAGTCTAGCAGGGAAAAAGAGAATCAAGCACGGGCAGATATTGCTTATCCCCTAGAGAAACTTAAGTGTTGACGTCTATTTATTATTTATTTTTATTATTTATTATCTATTAGAGAGACTCAAGTCGTCCCGACTCTCCCGATGTCTAGTCTAGCTGGTACCTGCCTGCCTCTGTAAGCGCATCTAGTCTAGTATCTAGATCTAGATCTCATGCTCTAACAATAAGTATCCATCTAGCGACCATCGGAGGAAACGTTGCTCTAGTCTAGATCTCCGACCGCTTTGCCTCTTATTATGATTATCTTTTTTTCATGCTCGTTCAATCGTCTCTTCTTGTCTATGTCTTTTCTTGTCTATGCCCCCCGCGCCACCCCCCCTCCCTCACACCCCCGGCGCGGGTACTCCTTGCTGTATGCATCATTTCTCGAAAAAAAGGAAGAAATTCCTTTTGGCTATTGGCCTCATCCTATTGCGATATTAAGCTTTTGGCCCTTTTTGGCCTCACTCGCGAGTTCTCGTGGAGGTTCCAGGAAAGGCGATTGGTATTTTCCCGGTTAGGTACGGGAAAACTGGTATAAAGGTTTGCCCTTTTTTTTTTTTTTTTTTTTTTGAAGGGATCAAGTTTCTCCGGTGTGAAACACCGTCCTCAATCCGGTTCTCGATTTCGTAAACCATTTTTTCGTAAGCTTGAGGCCGTTGATTGAGACTCCAAGCCAGGGCTCTTTTCGGGGGAGCCCATCTCCAACTAATCAAGGAGGCTCCGGCAGGGTTGGTTCGGGGGAGCCCCATTTCCCTGGCCGTCAGGATCGAGGGCTTCGGGTAAGGGGGAATTGCTGACCGTATTGCCTCCCGCGTTCGGGTAGTGGTAAGGCGGGCCGGGACGCACCATTGTGTGTGATCTGAAGTCGACCTGGTGCGCTTCCGATGGCATTTTGCAGTGATGGTTATTCGGATCACGGGTTCTAAGGAAGTTGGGATTCTGGCATACATGGCCGTTGAAACACTATAAAACGCGTGACAGGGTTGGCAAAAAGTGCAAGGAATTTTAGGTAAAAGGATAAGGATATATAAAATTGCTTACCGACGGATCTCGGCATTTGCCCTGCTTGGTGCAGGGAAGCGTACGCGCCTTCCACTCCAAAACAGAGAGTAAGCGCACTGGTATCAGTTGGTGCTCGTAGTGGCACCAGTTCTTGTTAGGACAGTATCCGTTTAACTGCTGTTTATTGCAGTACCCCTTTGTAGCGGATTGCATTTCAAACTCGTTCTGGGCAGCAACGCTAGGGACTGGCGTGTAAGGATCAAGGCGTTTCCTATCTCGGCTCAGGAATATGCATCCTGCTTGTAGCTCCTTCTTATTCGGCAGCTTCAGACGCGTTCTGCCGACCCTTGACCGTGTTACGTCTAGGCTCGGACCTTCGCCAAAGTCGTCGACAGGCGTGTCGATTGGAATTTGCGGGAAGTTCCCTTGGCCATGCCCGGTCAAGCAGTCGGTTTGGCGCGTTATCCGGCTGTTCGATTGTGACGGGCCAGCAGGGCTATCTGCAGGGTTATTTGTGATGCCCTGATGCACGAACCTGCATGTGCTCCCGTCCCTGCACTTTCCGGCTTGAAAGTACACACATTTCTTAACCTGGCCTACTGGGGCCTTAGGTTTGTGATCAGAGGGGGCGCCCCCGCTGGCCGTTGAGGATGCATTCGGGCAATCGGTTGTCGTGCTTAAGTTTGGATCCACGGCAGACTCGAGGGGAGTGGAGCGGAAAATGCCAGGCAGTTCTACAACGTCCAAGCCCAGTTTGGAGAATTTCTCGTGAAAGCCCGCTCCAGGCGCCCGTATGAGCGTGATTTTTTCTCGCTCGCCCAGGAACTTGTTGAGTTCCGCAACGTAACCGGCATCGTGGCAGGCTGCAAAGTAGATATGCTTGCACTGTATGTTATTGGAGTAGAACCTAAGCTGCTCCCGGATCCTGAAATCGGCGGCCTCTTTGCCTTCGCCGGCATCGACGAAGTCGAAGAGGCCGTGCAAACTGTTGAAGTTGGCCCAGAAGGGCGCGAGGGAACGTCTGTCGGGAGTGGCGAGGTTGTTCCGGAACAAGGTTGAGCTAAGTTTGGTGAGGTTTGCGTACACGTAAACCTTGACCGCGCACCCCTCCAGCCCTTTCTCCTGGAGGCTTTTACCGATGGCCTTATGGAGCTGTTGTGCAGCATGCGAGCCGCCCTCAGGGGTTGGCTTACCGGGCCGTTCCTCGTTCTTAAAGAAGTCTTCATGGAAGATGTATCCGTCCCCGTCGATCAAGACCGTGACGAAGGGGTGTTGATTGGCCTTGCGAACAAGCTGCATATATTTCTGTTTCTCGGCCGTTTCCTCTTCGCACTTGACTTTCAGGGACTTATACGCCTCGTGAAGCTTAGCATAAACCTCGATTTGGTCTGCCCACTCGGCCGCATGTTGGCGAAAGACGGCCAATTTTTGGGCCGCCTCTTCGATTTCCTCGTCAGTGAGCGGCATCTTCAAGTCTCTGAGGCACGATCGATGAAAATGTGGCCGTAGGTATGGAAGCTGTGCCGAAGAGGGGAGACGCCGATGCCAAGGTAAGGGGAGGAAGTTAACACTTTAAAGATGTCACCGATGAGGAATTCTGTCGCTTGGGATGTGCAGGTGTTGCCCATCCAATGTTGAATGTGAATGGGCTATCAGTGCAGTTGGGTATACCATACTGGTTATTGTTTTGAAAGACTGAACAAGTTTGCCGACAGAATGGTCATCCACAAAGTGTCATTCTGTGAAGGCTAGTTAAGCCTTTATAACAATGGCTGGTAGGCCTGTGCGCTCCACACTGGTCCAGCTGTGAACGCGTACCCGAATCCATACCGTTATCTATTGATGTAATTCTTCAGTGTTGTTGTGTTCATTTCCAAAGTCTTTTTTAAACGCTCAGTGACTAAGAGGGGGGTAGCATGGACTCCCATTCTTATAAATCCTAACCTTAACCTACTGGGAAGTTGGTGGTGATCTCATTCACATGTGGTGGGGTTCTGCCAATTGATGGCACTTTGATATGTTCATGACCAAACTGTTGATTTGATGCGTGCTCATCTTCACAGACTCGTGTCTGTTTAAATCGTTTCAGGCAAATGCAGGCATTCCAGGTAAATAAATTGTGCAGAGCATTGACTTTTCCAGTCTTCGCTCGTACACATGTAAAAACACAGGTCTTGCCAGTATTTGCCAAATGTAGATACTTCACAAGTGAAAACAGTGCATGTAAAGTCACTAGCACTACGTTACTTGCCGTTGTGTGCATTATGAGGTAATTTAGCAAAAATGTTTTTCATCCAAGAGCACAACTGGCCTCGTGGCCCAATGGCAAGGCGTCTGACTACGAAAGAGCTTCAAGTTCTACTGTTATCAGGAGATTCTGGGTTCGACCCCCAGCGAGGTCATGTGATATTCTTTTGCTGCCTGCCCTTTCCTTTGTTTCATTTTTGTTGTCACATTGTTTCCCTCTCTCTCTATTTTTTTTGTTCGGCTTCAAACCAAATTCTCAACTCTATTCAAACTAATTGCTGGGGTAAGTCTATTACTAGATCTACTAAGCATTATTGCCCACACTTGACAACTTCTGCCTATCACCAGTTCCAGAACCAACGGAGACATGAATATCGCATCGACATGGGTGAATAATGACTGCCAATTGAGGTTATTTGTATGGACAACAAGCCCGTACCACTGGCTGAAGGAGGGGCAGCCGACTTGCCCCGCCGGTACCTGGCGCAGAAGAAGCGTCATGTCAGATCAGTGGGTTGGTTGGTTGGTTGGTTAGAATTTATTGGGTTAGCTGTGGCATGATTACCACAAACATGCATCAGAAGATCCCTGTATGTACCTTTTACAGCACCCGCCAGCCTGGAAGAGACCAGGAAAGCTTCCCGGAGATCCTCCAATTCGGTAAACGCAGCGATAAATCTTACGATTTTGTACCGGACGATACGTGATAATCTTCCCATTATCGGGGCCGCCCTTGTCTAGACCTTTTGACACACAACTGCCGTTTGACAAGACAAGCTCAAGTATGGCTGGTAGACCTTTTTATCGGCTCGCTTTTATGCGACTGAGGCCCTCGCAAGCCTCGAAGTCGACACGTCCCTTCAGTTCCAATTCCTACAGTTCAACAAGCTCTTCTCGACGGTTACCAGTTCGCGTACTAGGCATAATGGCGGCGACTACGTGCATAGCATCGACAGCCTACACCATGGTACCTTTCCGCCACCCCTCTGCGACTACATCCGGGCATCAATTGACCTTACCCCCGTTCTATACAGGCTACCCAGAAACCCACAAAGTTCGATGCGCGCTCCGTCGCCGAGCTCGATGAACGGACGAAACGCGAAGAGGGCGTGACGGAACACTCGCCCATGCGCCTGCGCATGGAGGAGTTCATCCGCCAGCAGCAGAAGGAGATCGTGTACGCGCTCGAGCAGGTCGACGGCAAGCGCTTCAAGGAGGACACGTGGACGCGGCCCAACGGCGGCGGCGGGCTCTCGTGCGTGCTGCAGGAGGGCAACGTGTTCGAGAAGGCCGGGGTGAACATCAGCGTCGTGTACGGCACGCTGCCCAAGCCGGCCATCGCCAAGATGCGGGAGAACCACAAGACGGTGGCGGCCGACGTCGACGACCTCGACTTCTACGCGCTCGGCCTCAGCCTCGTGCTGCACCCGCGCAACCCGATGGCGCCCACCGTCCACCTCAACTACCGCTACTTCGAGACCATGCGGCCCGACGGCACGCCCCAGGCCTGGTGGTTCGGCGGCGGCAGCGACCTGACGCCCAGCTACCTGTTCGACGAGGACGCCGTCCACTTCCACCGCACCCTCAAGGACGCCTGCGACAAGCACGACAAGAACTACTACCCGCGCTTCAAGAAGTGGTGCGACGAGTACTTCTGCAACAAGCACCGCGGCGAGTCGCGCGGCGTCGGCGGCATCTTCTTCGACGACCTCGACGAGACCGTCGCCGACTCGGAGAACACCTTCGCCTTCATCCAGGACTGCCTCAAGAGCTTCCTGCCCTCGTACATCCCCATCATCGAGAAGAGGAAGGACATGCCCTTCACCGAGAGGGAGAAGGAGTGGCAGCAGGTCCGGCGCGGCCGCTACGTCGAGTTCAACCTCGTCCACGACCGCGGCACCGCCTTCGGCCTCAACGTGCCCGGCTCCCGCGTCGAGAGCATCCTCATGAGCCTGCCCCTGACGGCCTCGTGGAGGTACATGTACGAGCCCGAACCCCGGAGTCGCGAGCAGCGCCTCGTCGATGTCCTTAGAGAGCCCAAGGAATGGGTATAAACAAAACTATTTATTTTTTCTGGTTTGGTTTTTTGGAAAGTTTTATAGCACAGCCAGTCGGAGGGGATGATCATGTGCACATTTTAAGATACCTCAAGGAAGGCAATATGGCGCTCTTAAAAAGGTAAAAAGGGGCTAGATTTGCAACGCGGGTACATTTCTCGGTAGATATTTACTTTACTGCTATTGCCGGGCGTTATGTCAATGGAATACTACTAATGTATATGTGTCTTGATATACCTACATCCTATTTATTCACTGTTAGGTTTCAAACTTGAATACAGAGCATGGAGAAAGAGGAGTGGGGTGAGAATTTTCGTCCGTGGAATGAATATCAAACTGGTAGTAGATAAATAAACACGACCAAAAAAAAACGATTCCTTTTTGTTTGAAATGTCCCGAATGCAAAATCCCTGGCACGCCTGGGTATCTATTTACCCCATATCTAAATCAATCAAACCTTAAATCCCAAACGGCCACCCAAGAGAAGGGAAAAAGAATAAAATCAAGCTCTAAACCTCACGGCCTTCTTGCCTTCCTTCGCCCCATTAGCCACCATGCCAGCCATCCACGCCTCGCCAGCACTCCTCCACCGCGACCTCACCTCGACCTGATCCATGAGTCTTCTGGCAGCGAGGACACCGATCTCGCGCACTGCGCGCGGTCCGACTGTGAAGTCGTCGTAGAACAGGTACTCATCCTCAACCTCTTTTGCACACACCTGTACCTCTACCTCTACCTCCTCGAGCGATTCTGATTTTGTGCTTCGGCGGCGGGAAACACAGGACGTGTCTACGTGCTCGAATCCCGCGTTTAGGGGACGAGTGCCGAAGCCCTTGGCGTCGGAGAGGTTGCTGTCGCGCATCTGGTGGTCGATGAGTAACTCGCGGATGTACCGGCTTATGCTGTAAGACGCTGCCTGGCGGCGGGGAAGGGCGATATATGTGTTTATGTTTGGGTTTGCGTCTGTAGTCAAGTCCGTGACGCGGTTTTCTTGTTTTTGCGTCTGATCCTTACCATCGGTTCCCTTGCCACTACTGGAAGGCGGAGAGGTTTTGGACTTGGACTTGGACTTGGGATTGGGATTGGGATTGGGATTGGCATTATTTATGTCCATCTCCCTCAGCATCTGCGACTCCGTCCTGATGGGCTCGTGGTGAGAGAGCGCGCTCAGGACGTTGATGTCCACGGCGTCGGCCGTCGACCAGTCGGCCGGATCGAGACTGTCCAGCCAGTCGTCCACTGCGGTCCGCAGGAGCCTGTTCCAGTACTCGGTCAGGAAGGCCGCGTTGCGCATGTGATCGGACAGGGTGTGCGGAGAGGGCGGTTTGGCACGAGAATTCTCCCATCCCGGGGTGAGGGTGACGTCGAAGGCCTGTGTGATGAAGATCCTGAAGGGCTCGCGTCTGCACGCCATCGAGTTCATCTCCATATCCTTGCCCATGTCAGTGTTCTGGGTGTCGCTGTCTGCACGCCGGCTCATGAAGGGAGAGGTGGATGACAAATAGGACGCGGAGGACGAGAATAGGGAGGAGTTGGGTGTGGGCATCTTGTATTGAAAAGGACTGGACTTCGAATGAGGATGGGGTGGAGAATAAAAGTTCGAGTACGCGGCAGAGTCGCGCCTTTGCGAGGCCGTGTACAGCCGCTTGATCTGGAAGAACATGTCGGTGAGGTCCGCGTCGAGGACCTCGGTAGCCAAGTGCCGGGGCAGTGCGACGAGGTTCCAGATGTCCGTGTAGCCGACGTTGAAAACCCAGAGGGTCTCGGCTGGCGGCGGAGTTGGAGCTCGATCTCCTTCTTCGGCTTCTTGTTTAGGCGAGGAGAGGAATTCATCGATTTGGGATGCCAGGTCCGGTCGAGAGGATGGGACCGGATACGCCGCCGGCACCCACGAGTAGTCGAGCTCCGGCTCCTTGCCGTCGGACTGTGGCCCGGGATCCGTGTGGGCAGCGAGAAGCTGGTGTGCCGCTTGGAGGAGAGGGTTCGACATGATAGCTCCGCTCATGCCCTCTGCTTCTGGGACGAATGAGAGGTAAGTGTCGCAGCCCAACTATTTAATAAATTAGCTACATCCTTCTCCCGAATTACGTGTGAGGTTGTCCATTAGAGTGTTGACTGACGTGTTGACACATAACCTCCGTCCAGGCAAGGTGCCTCTCATCCGATTTACTGCCCCCGGTATAGTTGCCAGGCGTAGCAACGTCTCCGCCGCCGAAAACCACGATCCGCAGCCCGCCGCCGGGGTTTCCACCAGCAGCTGGAGCAGCAGCTGCTGCCTCGCTGGCGCTACGAAGAGCGCCTTGGCCCAGGTCCCTGGGAACTCCGGGACCTACCACGGCGCCTGTGTGGCCACCGGCATAAAACCAGGCAGCTGTGAACGTGATGAGCATAACGACACTGTACGCTGCCGTCATGAGAAGCTTGCGCGCCTTCCGACATGCCCCCAGCAAGCGAAAGCTATCCACAATCATCTGGCCCCAGACATTCCGTTTTCTCCGGATATTATCGACGTATAGGGCCGAGGGGGAAGCCATCTTGTCGCGTGTGGGTAGGTAGGGTGCCAACTGGAACTGGGAGAGAGGGACACGCAGGATCCTTCACGGTCAATAGAAAGTAGTGAGCAAATATAATAACCTCACCGTGCAAGTATTCGAGAATGTGAATATGCGACCATGGGAGTACTGCTGCTTGTCATCCTTTCTGGTGACTGTCTCGCCCGTCTTGTTCGGCAATGTGGTTGAGTGCTCGAGATGGCAAAAATGATCAGAAGGAGGAGAGACTCTGTCCGTCCACAAAAATGGTTCCGGAGGGACATTTTAGTACTTGATGATGTGGAAATATTCAAAGCCCATGATCCCGGTGTTTCTTGCGTCGATGCTGACGAAGCACGCGTACTATGACGCTCCTCAACACACGCTCTTACATACTAACTCACTTTCACCGGCTTCGGGCCCTTGGAGCTTACGAGGCTTTCCAGCTGATATCCGGGACTTGGAAGTGCCCGCTATGTGCACCGTACTGCTGCATACTGGTCGGTGCCACCTTGAAACCAATAACACCGATGGAGTTCGGCATGGGCTATTTTGCCACGCAAAGAA